CATGCAAAACTTCGTGGACGATGGAGCTAAAACATGGACATAATTTTAGTTTAACAAAATTTTGAAACTCCACCTTCATAGCTTATGAATGTTTAAGCCAAATACTCTTGTCACATAGCCCCGCAAGCATTTATGTGAATTTTGTTGTTCACAAGTCATCAGAAAAGGAAATTTTATTAAGAAAATGATGTTTTATACGTTTCTAGCAGGATTTAATATCTGTGTGAAAATGTATGATAAATTAGTTTTAATAATAATTTGTTGTTTTTTTACAATTTATTACTTTTGTACATATTAAAAATATAAACATTTTATTTTAGTAAGAAAATTAATTATTTGATTTCGATGGTTTTGACAAGGTTGATAAACTCAATACCTAAATTTTAAATTGATACAGCACAATTCTTATAATCTTAACCCATTAAATAAACTTATTTTATTTTATTTATAAAATTACTACTCAAAAAATTAAAATTCGATAAAAAAAAGTATATAAACAGACAATTATGTTGATATGACATTATAAACAAATAATGTCAATAGTCACCGGTATGCTTTACTTTTTCAAACTTAAAATGAAAAAGCTAAAAGGTAATTTAAAAATTAAATAAATAAAAAAACGTTAACAACATATTATAAAAATAATATAAAGCTTTAACTTATTATATATTTTAAAAAGATCACAAATAAAATTATTGAAAAAATTTAAATGTTAAAACAAAATTATTGGTGAGCCCCACAACACAAAGAACTATAATAATATAAAAATATGTTTTAATTTATGTTGAGAAATAAAATATTAGAATAAAAAATTGGAAAAAAATAATTAAATTTGAAAAGCAAATTAAAAGTGAGCCATTTGGTGAAAGTAAAAATAAAAAAGGACCCACAACACTGTTCATTTCACTATGAACAGTATAAATTTTATTTATACTTTATCTACAACAAATAGGATAAGATATTGTCATCAATGAACAGTATAAATTTTATTTATACTTTATCTACAACAAATAGGATAAGATATTGTCATCAGCGTGCGATCCTTTGTTGGTCATATTATAAAAGCTAGAACCCTTGTCCAATTTCTGGAGCGTAGTGTCACGACTTTAGAATTTCTCTTTCCTTATACTGTATCAGCTTTAGATTAATTTTTTAATCTTAACTAAGTCAGCCGAACCCATAAAATAGGTAAAAAGACTTAAGAAGACTAGTTGCACAAATAGAGGGTAAAGAACTTGAGTGAATGAACTTGAGAACTTTATTAATTTGCTTGAGTGGTTACAAATGAGGGATGAGGGGTATTTATAGGCTCCCCCTTTCTTCCAGAAAGTTCCCACCTCCTTAATGGACGGTTGAGATTGATTCGATTCAACAGTATACATTCTATCTCTAGATATTCCTAGAGAAATATTTATAAGGAATATCTTGATATTTACAAGGAGAATTTTAAAATGTATAAGAGAAGGATATCTCTAGAATAATCTAGATACTTTATGTGCTCTCTACACTATTCTAGATATATTTAGGTCTTTCGACGTTATACCAGCATATTCCAAAGCTCTTCGATGCCTTCTTGATTGTTCTAGATCGTTTTGGAAGCTTTTAGAATATTTTAACCTCGTAAAAATTCTAACTGTGTCACATTCTCCCTTACCTAATCTAATGACGCCTTCGTCACTGACTTGATTCATGTACTTGAGATTCCTCTTGCAAGGATCCTTCTTCTTCTTGGCTTTCTTAGGATTCATCTCCCCATGAGATGTGATCATTTTTGGCCTTCTTGACTGGCTATCCCCTTTTAGTACTCGTATGGTCGATAATCATGAAAATCCACCCCTTAAAGTAGGTACTGTGCGAGCAACTCCTTCCTCGAGGATGTAGAATATATTATGATATGGTATGATAAAGGCTTTTACCTTTCGCATGAACTCCAAACCAAGTACTACCTTGTTGTCATCCATATGAGCAATTGAGAAATCTACCTTTCCATGTCAGTCCCCAAGACATAGTTTGACCCCTCGAGCAATGCTAACTAAGGGTTGAGGAGGAGAATTAGAAACTTTCAAATAAACCTCCTCCTTTTTTAATTTTGACACCTACCCTCTTAGCCTCTTCTGAAGAAATGAAGTTGTGGTCTGCCTCAATATCCACCATGATGCTAACCAGCTTCCCATTTAATTTAGCCTTCACATGCATCAACCCATTGCCTTGTGAAGGTTGGGTTTTAAAAGTGTTGAGGAATTAAATTGATCATATCCTAGGACTTTCCTCTTCCTCTTGCACCTCCTACTTTTGCACCAAAGCAGACAATGACCCCAACTTTGGACAATCCTTCATCTTATGAGGGCCTTAACATACAAGGCAACAAAGTTCCCTCTTCTCCTTCTACTTTGTCTGGGATCCCTTCCCAATATCTCCCTTTTCCCCCTCAAATTTTGTTCCTTTACCATTTCCTTCCCCACCATTCTCAAGATTAGGGTTAGGAAATCTATTCTTAGGGGACTCACCTCTTTCCTTCTAAAGCTTTGAGAGACTCTCGGCGACCACTATGGCTTCATCGATGGTCTTGACACATCGTCACTGTAACTCATGCTTGGCCCAATTTTAAAGACCATCAATAAAGTAGAAGAGACCCTTTTCACTACTCAGATTTGGAATTTGAAGCGTTAAAGAGGTGAAGTCTCGTACATAGTTAGAGATGGTGGTCTTATGTTTGAGATCCCTCAATTTCTTTTGAACCTCGTAGACCATGTTCTCTGGGTAGAATTGCCTCTTCAACTCTTTCTTGAAATCCTCCCATGTCACACCCCAATACTAAGGGTATGACCAGTACGGAATATGAAATAACCTCATATTCCATAAGCTTTAAATAGTCATAAGTTAAGCTAAATTATCGATATATAGTTTTTATATATTTTTATAAAGTTTGTAAATTCTTAAATATTTTGTAAAAATTTTGATAGAATCTTCCTTATAACTTGGATCTCCTTAAATTCCTACAATAGTGAAACTAGCCAATCACAAAGGAGACTAGCTTCACACCTACAGATTATATATTAGCAAAATAAAACTAGGACCTAACTACGGTATACGTAAAGCATTAAGTTACAATTTCATAATATAAAATATATTTACATCAAAAGTAACTACCACATACTTTCACTATTCCAAAATAATTGTCCCTTAGCGATCAATAAGAGGTGTAGGGTCAATTTCAATATTTGAGACTAAAGAAATTTTTTTTCGGTGAGTAGTATCCCAATTGATAGTTGAAAGAAATAATGAAAAGCAATCAATGAGTCAATTATAAATTTACTAAAATAATCAATTGAAAATAATATAAACCAATAATACATAAATACAAATGAAATTATTAAAGTTTCAAATTCCAAATTTCTTAAATTTCTACACATGTTTAAATATCTTGGAATATGTATGTGTGTATATATATATATATATATTACTCAATATAAAATTCACATATAGTTAAAAATAACAGTTTGCTTCCTAATATCAAATTTAAAGAAAATGGTTTCACAATTCTTTCTTTAATGGGACTTGATCAGAATGATTAACAGGTGTGGACATAAAGTTCATGAGGGTAAGTAACATATTCAGTGTGATAAGAAGCCATGAAAACAGGTGCAAGCATAAAGCTCATGAATAATAGGCGTGGATTATATCCATGAAACTACATTCTCCATTCCACGTGTGTTAGTCAGCACATGGGGCTAGCACTTCCAAAACACCCTGCTAGTTAGGTGTACCATGGTATGCCAAGGGCTAGTTCTTAACTCAATCCCCCTAATTAAATCAAGCGTGCACAGGGTTGAAACATTCATTGAAAACTATTCCTTTTAAAATATAATATTCAACTAAGAAATTTTCTTTTCATTATTTTTCGTGCACAAATCATCGTATTAACAATTGTCATATAAATTATAAAATTTAAACAAAAGAAATGTTTAGAATAAATAATCGGTCAATAATGTACCAGATCTAAATATTTTTTAACAATAGCATAATTCTTAATGAAACTAAAGAAAATTTAATAATAAACCAATTAATATAAAAGTGAGGTAAGTAGAAAGAATTGTATAAATCATAAAAATACCATTAACAAGAATATTTATACAGCTTATAAAGAAATGCTATAAAAATTTAAATAAAAAAATTTTATAAACATTTTGTAAGTAATTATTTGAGACACTACCCACTCATTTGAGAGTTTCTCAAAAATTTTAAAACTTGCTTCTCTTATCTTTTTATTTTAATTCTAATGATGCTCACAATTTCCTGACAAATAAGTCATAATCCTAAAATCATTATCAAGTAATTTTTTTTAATCAAATTCAGGAATGAACATTTTAATTTAAAACTAACCACTACATCATTATATTCAATTATAATTTCTTAAAGCTTTTGCATCAATAATATAAACTTTAAACCCAACATATAAATTTCTCATTTCCTGTCAATAAACTCAAATTTAATTATATCAATTAATCAATCTTATCATTCTTTTAAGAACTTAAACAAACCTCTTGAAACCATTCCTATTTATTCATCACATAACCAATCTGCATACATCCTAACCTCTTAAACTCACCATTTAATTTTTAAATCAAACTTTCATATACTACTTAAGTATTATTAAAAACACAATATTTTAAATTAAACCCCAATCAATTATTTGAATAACCTTTGGCAGCAACTAACATCAGCATTCTTAACAAGAAATTTTTAGCATGTATATACTTATTCCTCAAGCTTCTTCCTTTAATGCTGTAAACAAAAAAGAAAATTCAATTTCCCTCTCTACTAAATAATAACCAGCAGAAATAGTAAGGTAGAACTTCAGTCCCCATCATCATTAGTCACGACAGAACCATTTAGAAGGGGCAAAAATCGCCATGCAACAAAAGATAAGGAATTAAGCTTCATCTAGCACATCTCGCAGTTGAGGAGGAAAGGAAATTGAAGACCAAACACACTCACACATGAACCTGGAAGAACAGAGAGCGATGGAAGAAGAGAATCCGGTGACTCCACCATCTCTAGCAGCCAATCGTGACAGTAAGGATAGCACGAGTCGACGACGATGGAGAAAACCAACAGCAGGGATTGGAGAGAGATGGGTCAACAGTGAAGACCAGAGGAGCATATTGGCGGTGGAGAGAAAGAAGAGACAAATAAAAAAATGGGGTGCTTTGTTTCGTGAAGGTTGAACAGGAGAATATAAATTTAATTCAAAAAGACAATTGGGAAAATTAGAAGTAAAGCCTAAGGAAAAATTATCAAAAAGGCACGAAATTTTCTATAATAAGAAAAATAAATAAAACCTAACTTTTACTTAGTAAAATTCTAACTTTGAATTTTCAAGAAAGTTACTAAAATAAGTTCCTGTCAACTACCACTCTCCACTTGCTATAAAACTAAGTTAAATAAAATATTAATTCGTAGAAAAAAATTAATTTAATTTAATTTAAAATTTAGAGTCATTACATCCTAAGTATTGATTGTGCAAAGCCCTTTGTCCATACCTGCATGCTTTCTTTACCACCATAGCATGGCATTGTCGGTAAGGAAGTAAGTAGTGGTATGTACCTTAGTTTGATCGTCAATTAGTTTGATCATCAATCATCCCCAAGGTGTTAGCATAACGTTCCATCTGTTATAAGAAGTTCTCAACTTCCTTGGCATCTCATACCTCCTTGAGTTCCTTATGTTTGAGAAGGTCTAACTTGACTTTCCTTATTCCACTATTTCCATCCAATAGTGGGTTCCTTCCTCTTTCTTTTAAGGAAGTCTTAAGAGTGTTGAGCTATTGTTGCATTGTGGTAATGGCATTCATCACCTTTATCTCCAAGGATTTCATGGCATCCTCCTGTTGATCCTCAGAGTTTTATAAGGTATCCACACTACCCTTTAACTTTTCTAGTTCTTTGAGAGTGTGGTTCCCCAACATAACCATATCACCATCAACTTTCTCTACTCTACCCACCATTTCTTCCATGACTTTCTCTAAAGCATCAATTTTTATGGAGAGTATAGTAAGATCTTCTGAACGTACCTTACTAGTGCCTCGTGCCTTCTTGTTACCTTGGTGTGAAGATTGGGATTCCCTTCCCCTCTTTTCCACATGAGTGAGAGTTTCCTCAATTATGCCTGACATCCTTGCCTACAAGTCTATGAGTATCCACCCAAACCATGGCTCTGATACTACATTGTCACGACCTTGAAACTTTTCTTTCCTTGCACTGTGTTAGCCTTAGCTAGATCAACCTCTTGATCTTGACTAAGTCAGCCGAACCCACAAAGTAGGAAAAGAAACTTAAGAGGACTAGTTGCACAAGTAGAGAGTATAGAGCTTAAGTGAATGAACTTGAGAGCTTTATTGATTTGCTTGAGTGGTTACAAATGAAGGGTGAGGGGGTATTTATAGGCTCCCTCCTTTCTTCCAAAAAGTTCCCACCTCCTTAATGGACGGTTGGAATTGATTTGATCCAACAGTGTACATTCTATCTCTAGATATTTCTATAGAAATATTTACAAGGAATATCTTGATATTTACAAGGAAAATTCTAGAATGCATAAGAGGAGGATATCCCTAAAATAATTTAGATAATTCATGTACTCTCTACACTATTTTAGAGATATCTAGATCTTTTGAAGTTATACTAGTGTATTCTAGAGCTCTTCGATGCCTTCTTGATTGTCTTTGGATCATTCCGGAAGCTTCTAGAATATTTTAACCTCGTGAAAATTCTAACTGTGTCACAGTAAACCCTAACTCTTTACTGTTTGTTATTTACTTGTATTTCCTTTGTTTGTGATTTCTTACCAATTTGAACGTAATTTCCCTTCCATTCAAAAATAAAATGAAAAATCATACCTGATCCCATAAAATATATTTAATTATTAAGAAGTCCTATAAAATGTATAAACATATTCGTAAAAACTTGATATGAATTTGAAAGAAAGTACCTACAGAGAAAGCATCAATTGCTCTCACCTAAACACAAAGTTTGTTGGGAGAACTTCACTTAAGGATTGGTATAGGGAATTAATTTTAGGTGTATTTAATTTTTTTTTGAAATTTTAGTTCAATTTAAAAAAATTAAAAGAATTTCAACTTTAGAAAGATTAGAATACCCTTAAATTGCTATGCAAAATTGCTAATTATTAATTTTTATACTTTACTTGTAAATTACATCTATTTATCAGATAATTAGTAACATTAATTATTAATTTATTAACTATACTTGTTAATTTATAATTAATTTTAGTAAATTATAAGACCTCTCAGTAATTTATCACTAATGTTAGTAAATTAACTAGTATAATTAGTAATTTAATAACTGATGTTGTTGCTTATGATTGAAAAATTAATGTCAAATTTTATATAATTATTGACATATCAAATCATGTAATTTACAATTTATATTTGTAAACTAACGAGTGAAATAAGAAAATTAACATATAGTGATTCTACATAATAGGTGAAAGGTATTTTAATTTTTTTTACAGTCAAATTTTATTTTTTTTTTCTGAATTGAATTAAAATTTTAAAATTTTTCTGCACTCATCTAAAATTAATTATCTATCGTGGTACTTAACTAAAAGTCTCCCAAGTTTGTTCGCATGGCGGGTCCCATTAAAGTGAGTCCAATGCTTAGCTTTTTCTGCCTTGCGCTTTTTGACATGATTTTCCCTTTCCAGTTGTTGAGAAACACTCATGATACCCCGTGCAAGTTGGGATCACCGTGCTCCTCTCCTAATACGCACATTATTATTATTATTATTTGTAAATAAGCTTTATTTTGCTAAGAAAAAAACCATACAACAAGGAAAACTACTAAAACAGGGCAAAAACAAAACCATCTAAAAACAAACCCTTTCATCATATTCCCTCTTCAATAAAAGATGGCTTATGATCAAAGATACAAAAATCATTTACTAAAGTATGACCAAAACAAGCTGAAGAGTCAGCAGTGTATTTCGCTTCTCTATACATAAAGTTAATGGACACATTTCAATCTCATCTCAATAAATTGACAACATATTGAATAATGTCTTGGAAGGTGTTGATGACGGTGGAACCTGATGATAAAGATTTATTGCATCCGCACAGTACATAAAACCTCAATATGTCTCAGATTATAAAACCAACATATTTCTAGTCCTTTGATGATTCCCATGACTTCCGCTATGGCTGGAGAAGGGATCCAAGTTTGAAGTTGAAACCTGCTAACCACAGACCTTGGGAATTTCGAATGAAACCCCCAAAGAAGGCATTCCCATTACTAAGCATAGAACCATATTCTATTGAATGACCCAGGCTTTGATTAACAGGATCAGAAACTTAATTGACACCTTGCTGTGTTTTGTTATTGGACTGGAATTTCTTCTGTATACATGCAAGGTTATTCAGGACAATATATCAATAACATCTTCCCTCTAATTAACTTTTTGATAAAATTTTGCTGTCACTGAAGATACTATTTTCTGTGTGACAATCACATCTTCACAAAGTCAACAACCTACAATAAATTTCTCCATATGTGAAGCCCTCTTCACACCATAACTTCCATTAAGTCTCTAAAGCTTCAAATACATGCCGGAGCCATATGTTAAAAGGCTTCCATAAGATGGAACAAGCTGATATCAGGCTAATACACACTCGCACAAATGCACAAATGCATATATACAATGAGTTGTACAAAGATGACAATTCTTCTTCCGAAAGCGTTTTACTAATACTCATTTGAGCAAAGTATATGATGACATAAACTGCAAAATTTGATTTTAAAAGTCTAGCTGTCATGATCTCTTCAATGTTGCATGGAATAAATTCCATGTGAAAAGGATGTATAGTGAAGAAAACTGGAGGGGTCATGTATGAAAACCAAACAATAAAGTTATTCCTAAAAGACAATCTACTATCAGACCCACCACAATCATATGCCAACATCTTAATTATATAGAAGACATCAGTGGAGCACCTTTTTTATTTCATAAGTTTCTCTTCCATTACAAATTTTCTTTAACGTTAATTGGACATAAACAAGAGGAAAAACAGTCTTCACTGGAAATGAATGCCTAAATGCAACTTCCGATTCTAAAAAGAACTAATTTATTACGGCAGCTTTCATGAGAATGGCCCCAAAGAATAAATACAAAACCATCAAGGCTACTCTAAATGATGGTAGGAGATAGTAAAATTTCTCATATATATGGTTTACTACAATAAAATCATGCAACAACATCAAGATTCATCTTTATTAGTCAGCACTTCAGACAAGTCAAAAAGAAAAACAAAGATGGACTACTAACTTCTGACAAGCTACTCATGACTATGATGTTGTTTTGAGAGTGTATGTTGAACTAAAGCCTAAAATGCTGCAACATTTAAAAAAATATGTTTTTGAACCAAAACTCGAGGAAAAAAATGAATAAAGATATTAGTACATTAATATTTGATTTTTTAAATAATTGTTGTCCCCTTATTATTACCTAAAATTTATGTGACATTTTGAATCTATATAACGAACATATGGACAACAAGAAACAGCCTTGTCTCACTAGCGAACAAATTGGTGAATAAAAAATTATCCTCTTGAAATATATTTTCTCTCATTTTATTTTCTCCTAGCCTATATTCTCAAAAATACCCAAAATTGTACCCTGGCCTCTCATGAGAACTCCAAATCTAAGACTAACAATTTCAAATAATGGAGAAAAACTGGCAATTTTTCCAATAATAATGGCACAGCAGCGAACCCTAGCTAAACCTTGAACTATGATTTGAGGCACGTAGCAATAGGAAAATAGCTAGTGCGTATATTATTGAGAACACCACTTGTAAAATATATTGCATACAACATCCCAATAACACTATCGATGTATTATTTTCACATATATGTGTATAAGTATAACATATATTACACGCTACATCTTTATCATAAGCAAGCTCCCATTAAACTAAACTTCGATTTCTAACAAAGCTTTTGCTTGAAGTTACCCTTGACAGCAATAAAAACAACATTAACATTGAGTTCATTGCGATTTTTCACTCCGAAAATTTGTGTCATCTCATTCATAGCATCTCTACCCATTAGTATGATCAACTTAAAACATAATTCAAGGAGATGCCAGAATATCACATATAGAACCCGAATCGACACAACAAAAACTGACTTTTAGAGAAGCTTCGGAGCAGTTATGTACCAATCAGAAAGGGAGAGACAAAATGAATCTGAGTGAATTAGAATTGCGTACCTAATTAAACATGCCCAAGAATGAATCTGAAGTGAGGAAAAGGCCTCATCCCATTTCTCAAAGTCTACATACCAGACCCACCTTTAGGTTATTTATAGTCCTTTCAATTAAATGCATGATTGCTTTAATATACATAAAACTCTAACAAAATGCAACCTATCACATGTATTACAATAAATGTTCATGCAGTAATCAAGACTCCCCCAGAACAACGATAAACATCATATAAATGGGAGACTTTTGCACGGTCTATAGACTCGGGGATAAGGGATATGCCTTCACTTACTCACGTATTCAAGTAGTGAACGAAGCAGCACAGCGAGTGTTTGGTTCTTGACAGAGGTTAATGATCAACTGCTTGGGAAGCCAGGAAGGGAACTGAAAGATTTTAATGATTTTTTATTTTTGGTCCAGGGAAATTGATAATAAGTTAGCTTGTGTTTGACATCTATTTTTTTAAAAGTGAATTCAATAAAAATAATTGTGATAAAAAAATTTGTGTTTAGATATAATTTTTTAAAATTGATTTTGTAAATTAAAAATTATTTAGATTAATAATGATTTCTAATTTTAAAATGTACTTTTAAATATATAATATTAAAAAGGATATTAATTTATGATGATTAATAATTTTTGTTCTACAAATATAATATAGTAAAAATGTTTAAAAAATGTAAAAAAAATTAAAATAACATCAAATTTAATATGTTCAATAATAATAAAAAAAAAGAGAAAACATACTTTTTGGTTTATGCACTTTGCTTGTATTTTGTTATAGGTTCCTATATTTTTTTCAGTTTTTTAAGTCTCTACACATTTATTTTTCACTATTTTATATTCTTAAATGAATAAAATGAATAAAGTATAGGGACTTCGGATGAACGTAAATATCAAAAAAATAATAGTATAAAGATCCAAAATATTGGGAAAAAATGCAGGGACATATAATAAAAGATGAGCAAAGTGTATGGAGCAAAAGATATATTTTTTCTAATAAAAAATAAAGTTTATATGTTAGAAATATCATATAATAAATAGTTTAACATATATTAATATTAAAATTAACATGATTCAAAAATATGTATGATACATTTATTTCATTAAAAATATTAACTAACTGAACAAATCTTTGTTGGTTGATAAAATTTCTAAATAATATAAAATTTGATATATTAAATAATAAAATTATAAAACATGAAATTTGATTTATTGAGCAAAAATTTTGTAAATAGTTGAATATACATTAATACTAAAAATTAACATGATTAATTATTAAATATATAATATTAAAAACTTAATCTCTAATTATTATTATTTAAATGATTATTATATTTTTAATAAATTAACAATATTTTTTAAATAAAAGAATAATAGGTTTTATTTGGGATATCATGGTCAAAATATACCTCATTTTTTAAACCCACTTTTTAAAAGCTCTATCATCTTACAAATTTATTTTCAATAACGTTATCAAAGCACTTTTAAATACACTTTCATCTCTTTATTTTTTTTCTATTCAATATCCCACATTCCAAAGTGAAAAAGCATTTTTCAAATGTCATAAGTGGGTTACTCAAACATACCCTGACTCTCCCCAACTTCAAATTATAAGACAATCTCATATAAAATTATATACTCTCTCCGTTCAAAAAAGGAGTTAGATATTAAAAATATAAAATATTTTTATTCTTTTGAAGTATAATTATTACTTTTTTAAAAGTACCCCTATTGATAATGACTTCATATTTATTGTAGGGTGTTTAATAGAAATAAATATGAAAAGATAGGTTAATTATAAAAGAGGTAACTACTTTATTGAAGGGTGAAATTCAGTTAAAAATATCTTACATTTTTTAAAAGGAGAGTATATCACTTTACAAATTCACCTTTTTAAGGTAAGAGTATAAATTTTAAAAATATCTTTTAATTAATATAATTTTAAATATTCAATCATTTTAATTATATTTCTACTTAAGAGTAATAGTAAGAAATTATTATTTATAAAATTTTATTTTTATTATATTTTGGGATAAATTTTTTTAACATTATTTTATAATTAAGATAAAATGAGTAATAATTTTATGACTATCAAATTTAAATTGATTTGACAAAAATGAGACTACTATAACTTTCTAATTTCTGCCATTATTACCTAATAAGTTTAAACAATTGGAAGAGCACATGTTGCCAACTCACACACTTGGTAAAAAGACGAACTTGATTTATATATTTTATTTTTATTTATTAAAAAAAAATTATAAATTTTAATAAACTTATACTATTATATTTAACTTGATGATAAATTTAATTTTAAATATTTTTATAATTTTTATAAATTAATTATTCAGATATACTTTAGACTAAATTTAAAGTTATAATTATTAATTTTTTAAATTTTTTAAAATTTCATTTTAAAAAGTATCTTTATTTTTAATATTATATTTATTAAAATAAAAAAATTTTAAAAAATTTTGATATTAAATTCAGACTGTTCATAATATATTTGAATACTTAATTTATAAAAATATTAATATTAAATTAAATTATTTAAATTAAATATGTATTATTAAGATAGGTGATAAGATATATTTATTAAAATTTTGAAATTTTAAAAGAAAAATATAAAAAATAAAATTTTAAAATGTATGGCATATGAGCGCCGCGGTGCTCACAAAGCTGGTCTCAAGACGAAACACGCTCGAATCAGCCAAGACTTTATGGGCCGATTTAAAATTGTTTTTATTTTATTATTTTAAAAATTAATGTTTTGTAGAATATATTTTAAAAATAATAAATAATAAAAATATATATTTTTAATTTTTTCTTATTCTTTAAAATAATAATCACAGATCATTTAAAAATTATTTTTTATTTATCTATTCTACAAAATAATATTTTATTTTTTCTAAAATACTTTAAAAAATATGTTATTAAGCAGATTTTTTTATTTTCTTATTTTAAAAAATAAAAATTTATTTTTAGAATAGGTTTTTAAAAAATCCTATATTCATATATGTCATTGTCATCTATGGATCCTCATTGTAACTTCATCAGTTTTTGCGGAAACGACATGGATCCCGAATGCCAAGACTTATTTATTATTTATTTATTATATAAGTTTTATTTTTATTTATTAAAATAAAATTTATATATAATAATAAATTTATTTTATTAATTTAATTTGAATGATCCAATTTAATATTAAATATTAAAATATTAATTTTTTTTATAATAAATATAAAATAAAAATTTGAAAGTAGAATTTAAAAAACTGGAGTCAAGATTAGTCCAGATGCAAGGTGCAGAAACCAAACACGCCGGAACCCAAGACTATACGCATGTTTGGATTAATTTTTAATTTAAGTTAGAATGGGCAAAACTGAAATTAAGATATAAAAAGCTCAAAAAATATTATTTGAATGAGCAAAAAATTCTAACTGAAATTAAGGTATAAACGAGCACTCTTCTCCAAGCTACAAGACACACTCTATTCACATTGACGTTCAATGTTGTCTCTCTCTTCTCATTTATTGACTCAGGCTCCTGCTTTGTTTCATTTATTATTTTTATTTTTTGTTTATTTATTTACCCACCCGGACTCCAGCGTTAAATGTCAAAAAATATAAAACATTAACATTTATTTTTATTTTTTATTCATTTATTATTTATATTCTCGATCATGTCATTTTCCCTCAACTTTATATATTTATTTTATTTAAATTTAAATTGTATAAAACTAGAGTGCATTTTTTTTGTCAGAAAAGTTTTGCTTTTAATGAATATATATAAGTATAAATTAATAACTACTTGTGTATGTACAAGTTAAAACTGAAATTATATAAAACTTGATTTTTAAGTTTAATATTTTTTATTTTTTAGTTAGTCAAAGAATATATGCAAAAAAAATCATGTTAATTTTTTCATTAAGCATTTTAACTGATTTTTAAATTAAATTATTCAAACGAATTTCAATTTATCTAACTGATTTCTAAAAAAACTATTAAATATAAATCATGTTACATTAACTGATTTTTTTAATTTTAATTTATTAATTTTAATTAAATTTTAACCTTAATTATAAATTGTTTAATCCAAAACACATATTTCTCCACTTATTGTCATGTGTGGCTTGGGGTCCTTATTGCAATTTTACCATTGCTTGCTACGAGTATATTAAAGGGCTGCCCAAGTCAAGAAAAAAAATATTAAAGGGTTGCGAGTAGAGCCGTCAATTAGGACCTACAGGCTCAGCCTTTTTAGATCCGAAAAAATTGAGGGCCGGACTTCTATTTTACCTTTAAAAAGGTAAATCGGGCCTAAAAGCCCTTTTAGGCCCGTTTATAATTTTTTTTAAAATTATAATATAAAAAAATAAAAGATTAAATACATAACTCAAAGAAATAAACATCTTAAATGCATTCATCCATCCATCATTTATTTATTAAGATTTAGCTTATAATATTAACTAAGTTTAATTTTTATTGATATTCACTTTGATGTTACTATTTGATATTAGACTTAAATATTTTAGTTTTCTTTATTGTTGTTGTGTAAATTGATTTAAATTTATTTTCTTAAATTTAATTTTTTGAATAATAACTTTTTTATGATTATAAATATATTTTTTATAATTTTTAATTGAAAAAATAATTTAAAAAAATAAGGCCGAGGCTCTGAAGGCCGGCCCTTTAGCCCTGAGAGTTAGGGCCGAGCCTTAAAGAATGAAACCCTGACATGCAATCGGGCTTAATAGGATCAATCCGTTTAGACTCTAACCCTTCAAGAGCTGATCTTTTAAGCTCGGGCTGACCTTAATTTACAGCTCTAGCTGTGAGTGTGTCTGGAATTGAGCAGCTGCATTTTCTCCCTCCTACCGCCACCATTTATATTTTATCAGGGCCGCAGGACCTCTCCCTCTCTACAATTGCCACGTCGATGGCCGTGGAGGTTGCCAGGGGTTTTGTCAAGGTTGGTGGGTCAGCCATCTTGCTTGTTTGTGGGTTTGCAGTATCTTTGGCTCTTGGTAGATATTTTTACCTTGTTCTTGTTTTTTCCTTTTTGATTATTTTGTTCATCGGATCTGCTCAATATTTTTACTTTGTTCCTGTTTTCTCTTTTTGATTGCTTTGTTTGCGGGATCTGCTCGATATTATTTTGTTCGTGTTAAATGGTACGTCTCTAGTTATAGATTTTTTAATATTTTTCTTTTTATATATTCTCATATAAGTTGAAGGTATTTTTTTTAAAAAATATATTTTTATCTTAAAAAATAAGATTATAAATTATATTTAATAAATTTTATTAATAGGTGTGATTTTGCATCGAGATTCTAAGTGTGTTTATAACCCTTGCTGTAGATGTTGTTAAATAATTTATTCTTGGCTTTATTCCTTTTCCTGTCAAAAAATTAGTTTGTCAAACTAATTTTCAAAAAAAAAAAAAATCAAACGCACTGCATGTTTCTATTGACTGGTTGTGAGGCTCTGCGTGGATCCGAACCTCGACGCATCCTATAGATGATAAGAATGAACTCAAAATAAATTACGTATTATATGTATGATGCTTTGTCCAAAAAAGTGAATTGCCAGAGTCACCCTAGACCCAACCAATAATATTTGTCGTCTTTTGGTCTTTTTTTTATAATTTTCTTTGCACCGATCATATAAATATAAGAGGATTGAGAGTGCTTGCTCTCATTTCCCCTTCCTCCTCCTCTCGCCGTTCATGTTTTATTAAGTTCACAGGACCTCTCCCTCTCTGCAACCGGGGTGAGTTTCCCTCTTTTGTTTTTTTTTTACTGTCTCTAATTGCAAATTTGAATCGTTTGAATGAAATTTATATTTTAAATTCAATTTAACAGTCCAGATCCTCTTCTCTCCTTTGTTTGAGAAAATCCAACTCCCTGCAATTGCAGCGTCATTGTCGGTGGAGGTTGCAGATCAGCTTTAAAGCTTATGAGCACTGCAAATGCCCAAGTGCATGGTGCCGAAAAATCAAACACACCGAAACACCCAAGACTTATGGTGTCGAAAGCAAACCCAAGACTTATCGTAATTTTACCACTTTTTGGCAAATAGGTTTTGCGCCTAGTATATGTATCTATATATGTTTGACAGAATTAGGAGCTATGTATCAAAACATGTCCTCGCAGGACCTCTGCCTCTCTGCAATCGCCGTGTTGCTATTCGTGGAGGTAGCTAGGGGTTGTATTAAGGTTTGTGGGTCCACCATCATCGCCTGCTTTTTCTTGGTCTTCAAACCTGCACGTTATTTTTACCTTGTTTTCTTTTTGATTATTTTGTTTGTAAGGTTCTTAAAGGATCCATAGCTTTCTTTATTCCATTTACTATCATCACTAACAGACGGGGGCGGAACTACGTGTCCCGCAGAGGAGGTCCAATACCCTTGCTTTGTGTATCAATGGGAAGAGCATGATCAAAGTTAATGGTTTAATTATTTTTTTATCCATTCATATAATGTTATAGATATTTTTATTTTTTTATTAAGATATTGGGTGTCCATTGCTAACTATTTTATGAATATTTTTGTTTTTTAACCCTACATAAAACTCTTAACAAAATGAAACCTATCATAAGTATTACAATTACTGTTCATATAGTAAGCAAGACTACACCAGAAAATGAAAAACATCACATATTCAATGAGCTTTTGATCTATATAAGTCGATCAGTCGATAACCGCAAATACACAACTCATTTCTTCTACTCTATCATCTCTGAACTCTCTAAAAGCCCTGGAGACTTGTGGGTTGGGCCTCTACCCATTGGGCTCACTTGTGTGGTTCACATATCACGGTCCATACAAGATCATAAAGACCAATCTATTGGGCTAATTAATTAATAATAATTCATAAATAATATTCCAACACTTCATACATGTAATTGATGAGTCCAATTATGAATACTATATTTTGTTCGGACATATTTTATATTTAATAAAAATAATGATAAATTCAACAAAAAAATAAAAATATAAAAATAAAATTTAATCATTTTTAGGATTATATTTTTAAAATTAAAAAAATCTTTAATTAATAAATTTAATTTTGTTTTAACCTAAAAAATCTTTTATTAGTTAGACTCTTATTTCTTTTAATTCATTAAAAAATAACTAAGAAAATATAAAAATATAAAAATAAATTTAATTTTTTTAGGATTGTATTTAAAAAATAATAATTTAATAAAATCAAAAAAATCTTACTTAAATTTTTTTTAAAAAATATCTCCTAAAATTATTCCTACCATTTAAAATATTGAGAATTAATTATTAAAAATTAACTTTAACAATTAAAAAAAAATTAAAAAAAAACAAAGTGGGGTGAAATGATGAATCACCCACTCCTAAATTGCCTTTCACAGCAAGATCAAAGTGCTGCACGATAGGAAAAAAAGGAAGCAAAACGCACAGCCAGACAAGAGAAGTGCCAGCTGAAAGGGAGAACAAAGCCCAGACGCGTGCGAAGGAGAAGAGCAGAGTAGAACCTGCCTAACACGCGAGTGAAAGAATGAAGAGTAGAGCAGATTTTCAGCCATACGCAAGGTAATTTGTTTTCTTTTTCTTTCTTTTGGTCTTCAATATAAGGGAGAGCGAGAAAGAGACCGAGGGGAGGATTTCTGGAGGAAGGAAGAACAAAGGAGACCGAGATCAAAGGGAGAGATTTTTGAAAAAAGAAAACAGAGATTGAGAGCAAGGGAGAACCGAGAGTCGAGAGAGGTTGAGTGATCTGGAGAAAGAGGAAGGACCGAAGATCTGAAAGGGGACCGAAGATGAAAAAAAAAAACAAAGGAGACCGAGAGAGATTTTGCTTCTATTTAAGGAGAGAACGCGAGAAGGAGGGATCTGGAGAAAGAGGAGAGACCGAGAGTTGAAGGAGGACCAAGGACGAAAAAAAATGAAAGAAGAACAGAGGAGATTGAGATCAGAGATGGAGAGATTTCTGGAGGTTTTTGATTTTCTAAGATAACTGAGAGAGAAAAAAAACTGAAGATAAAGAGAGAATCGAGAGAGGATCAAGAGGTTAAGGAATTTAGGATTGAGGGCGATTTTCTAGAGGAAGAAAAAAGATCGAGAATGAGATGGATGCAGTGAAGATCAGGAGTTGAAAGGAGGAGCATTGGGAATGAGATTGAAGCAGAGACCGAAGAAGTGAAAGGGGAGGACTGATCGAACCCAGGGACTGAAAGTGAAGTTCACACCGTTTTAGTAACAATTTCGAGATTAATTTACATGCTTTAGATTTTGATTTCTGATTTTAAGTTTGATTGGTTTTGGAATGTATCAATTCGTTTGTAAGCCTGATTTCTAATGGCTAGAAATTGGACTGCATTATTTAAGAAATTTTTTTTAGGATATGCTTCATATGAATTTGATCAGATATATAGATTAAGTGTTGAGAATAATTGGTTTAATGTTCATCATGCTATAAGAACAATGCTGGATTAAGCACTCTATTCGTATGATTCAATTGCCTTGCCATGTGGTAGAAGAGATTTAGTCCCAAATTATGCTTCTGTTCATGATTGAGGTTGATTTCACATTGTATTATCTAGCACTTTGTTGAGAGAATGCTGTGATCTTGCTTCAAAGGTTTGTTTAAAGTGATTAATCTATTCAAAACTTGTAAGGGAATGTGCATGAGCTCCACTTGGGATAAATGTTCCTATTTTCTCCATCTAGTTTTTCAGCTGCACTGTTGCAATTGATGTTTTTCATTATAGCTGTAACGCATGTATCATGCATACTTAGTTGGGTTCAGCTTGAAGGAAAATGCTTAAATACAATTCTTGCAACTTTTTTTTAATTATGTTTGAGTTAGTTTTGATTTATTTCCATGATGACTCTGGTTCAAATGTTGAAGAAAATCCTATTGTTAGACCGACCCAAACCTTACTCGCATCTCTTTCTTTTCTTTTAGGATGAGATATCAATTTGTTTTTAATTAGATGTGAATTAGGTGATTGGTGGTAGTGTCGTCATGTGAATATCATTTTTGAGTTTAAACATTCGGCTATTTGTGCCATTATCCATGTTACTTCCTTTCTAAATATTAGCCAAGCATTAGGTCGAAGCTGGATTTTTTTTGAAAGAATATATCCTCAAGTCGAAAGAATAGTGAATTATTAAAATAATTTATTTCTCTATCCCTTCCATTACTTTTATTGTGTAAATCATTTAGCCAACCTTAATATTATGCACCAATTATAAATGCAAATATTTTGATTACCTATTTGTTGTGTGAGATTTTAAGAGTCTTTATAAGCATTTAGAATGATTTCATATCGTGTAAATCAATAAGATTTTGCAGGTATGAGAATCAATTTTGTGTGTTTATATGGGTTTCAAAGGCCCATTATTGAAATTAATTCTCTCTTTATAATAAATATTTAAGTCTCATGTAAGATTTTAAGAATTTTTATAGAGATTTAAATTAATCACATCATCGTGTGGGATAATATATCCTCACAGATATCGTGATCTCAATTTATATGATAAATAAATAAATGAATTTTTGCAAATAAAATAATAAATATTTTTTATAATATTAATTAAATAAATTAATAAATTTAAATTATAATTATATTTATTAATTAGATCTTTTGGTCACGTGAGATTTTTGAAACTCCATAGACCTTTAGGATAATAGTACTATCGTGCGAGTCAATAAGGATTCATAGGTATAACAATTAAAATTTTTATATTTTAAAATATACGTTGTATAATTACATATTAAAATATATTTATAGTGAATATTATTTAATCTTTTTATTGTGTGAGACTTTGAATCTCTACAAATATTTAGGATAATTTCATATCATGTAAATTAATAAGGTTTTGCAGATATGATAGTAAAACTTATTTGTTAATATGGGTTTCAAAGATCTATCATTAAAATTAACTCTCTTTTTATAATTCAAATTAATAATTTATTTAAGTCTCATGTAAAATTTTAAGAATTTTTATAGAGATTTAAATTAATCATATCATCGTATAGGATAATAAGCTCTCGCAGATGCAGTGATTCTCAATTTCGATAATAATTAAATAATTTTTTGTAAATAATCATATAATACACAATTTAGAAAAATTAATTAATTAAATTAATGTATTTAAGTTGTAATCACATTTATCAATTATATCTTTTAGTCATGTGAAATTTTTAAATCTTTGTAGACTTTTAAGATAATCGTATTATCGTATGAGTCAATAAAACTCTATAGATATAACAATTAAGTTTTTAAAAAATATATATAAATTATATATTAAATCAATCAAATTAAAAATGTACTTAAATGTATATTATTTAATTTTTTATTGTGTGAGATTTTGAAATCTCTACAGATATTTAGGATAATCATATTATCACATAAGTAAATAAGGTTTTGCAGGTATGATGATTAAGATTCTTTAAAAACATATATATATATATATATATATACATGCTTAAAAAAATTATTACTAACACTTAAAAATATAAATAAATTAAGTTGCTAAATTCTTTTATCATGTGAGATTTTAAAATCTTCACAGATATTTAAAATAATTGTATTACCGTATGAACTAATAAGATTCTACAGGTATAGCAGTTAAATTCTCAATCATAAAATATAAAAAATAATAATTTTAAACCTTTTCTTTTCTTTATTTCAAAAATTCAAAAATTAAGAAAATAATTAAAATTAAATTACTTTTTACAATTTAAAACACACATATCAAAATTTTAAAAATTATTTTATTTTCAAAATTATGAATTATTTTTAATTAATTTCTCTTGATAAAAAAAATATTTTCACCACCAACTTTTAAGCCTGAATTACGTAAATTTTGATTCCCATCACATGATACGTAAGTCTCAGAGTCAGATTCTTAGTTAAGTCCTCCCTCATAAATAAATAAATATTCTCCATTTTATTGTTATCATTTTTTTGAAACACGTGAATAAGAAAGGGATGATTAAAATAACTTTAAAACAAACTTCAGATAACCATTTTCATGAACAGGTGTTGTGGGGTGCTTAACACTTTTTCCACACTCAATCGACTCCCGAACTTATTTTTTATTTTCACGGACCATCCTTATTCTCTTTTAATCAGTTTCTCAAAATTTTTCTTAAAATTTTGATGGCGACTCCCGTTTTATCAGGTTCTTACCTCGAAGGTCGAAACCTTCATTCGTGTGCCATTCGCGTGGCATTTTCAGGTGCGACACCAATGAACAAATGAAATTTTGTAATCGACAGAGAACCATTTAGATAGAAGAGATGAGGGCACGCTTCCTTTTCAGCTACTCCCTGCTGACAATGATCTTCTTGCGACCAAGAAACTTATATTTAGCACGACGTAGAGCCTCCTGGCCTGGTCTTGGGCATAGTGGCAGTTACTATCCTTGCAATAAATAGGTGGAAGCACTTGACCAACGTTCGCTCAAGCACAAGC